GACTATGGTTTATGGGGGCAGGAGAGCTTCATTGCTAGTAGACTGTGGTTTATGGGGCAGGAGAGCTTCATCGCTGGTAGACTGTGGTTCATGGGGGCAGGAGAGCTTCATCGCTGGTAGACTGTGGTTTATGGGGCAGGAGAGCTTCATCGCTGGTAGACTGTGGTTCATGGGGGCAGGAGAGCTTCATCGCTAGTAGACTGTGGTTTATGGGGGCAGGAGAGCTTCATCGCTAGTAGACTATGGTTTATGGGGGCAGGAGAGCTTCATCGCTAGTAGACTGTGGTTTATGGGGCAGGAGAGCTTCATCGCTAGTAGACTATGGTTTATGGCATAGGAGAGTTTCATCACTAGTAGACTGTGGTTTATGGGTGTAGGTAGGAGAGCTTCATCACTAGTAGACTATGGTTTATGGGTGTAGGCAGGAGAGTTTCATCACTAGTAGACTATGGTTTATGGGTGTAGGTAGGAGAGTTTCATCACTAGTAGACTATGGTTTATGGGTGTAGGTAGGAGAGCTTCACCACTAGTAGACTATGGTTTATGGAGCAGGAGAGCTTCATCACTAGTAGACTCTGGTTTATGGGGGTAGGTAGGAGAGTTTCATCACTAATAGACTGTGATTTACGAGGACAGGAGAGCTTCATCATTGTGTGACCCCACTGCCACCCCTCACCTTATTTGCGCGTCTTGTTGGGGGATTTTTTGTAGCAGAGCACACAGACTCATGACTTCCTGGCTGAATCTGAACTGCAGATGTGCTTAGTGTGGTCTCCGCAGTGTGTGTGTATTGCAGTGCATTTGAGTGTCTTCAGGGGGGTCTCCAGGTGGGGTCAGTCAGTTCCTCTTCCCTGCAGCACTCTCCGGTCACCTGTGGGTTTCACTCTTCCTTACTCATGTTTTTATTCCCCAAGAAGCCTGAGAACTTTGGAATTTGTTTCCATATATAATAAGGTTTTCCCTACTGAGTATCGGGGCATCTTGACTGTGGGTCTCTGCCCAGGTCCTGGTATACCGGTCTCTTGTGTGGTGTGTTCTGCCATGAAGTTCTATCCTTGATGCTGAGAGGATGCCGAAGGCATGGGGTTGCCTCTGTAGAGCTGGTTCTGGGGCTGATCTCAGAAACCTGCCCTCCTAGAGTGGTCTTTGGCTGCCTGCAGAGCTCACAGATGTTGCTACTGGGATAAGCAGCAGTTATTTAGAGCCCTTGGTATTGAAGGTGATTGGGAACCCCACGGGGTCCCGTTGACAGGATGGGGTACTTTCAGTGGGTATTGAGTGCTTTTGGCATGTCATTGCTGATTTTGGCAAATTTGCATGTATGTTTTCTTTTGCTTTGTAGCCCATATGAGCTGCCTCCTCACAGCCCCTTTCTGGATGATGCCCCAGAGTACGGCTTACACGGCTACCAACTCCATGTCGATTTGCACAGCGGAGGAGTCTTCTGCCTATGTGGCACGTTTCGCAATCTCTTTTCCAGGAAAGGTGAAACCAGTCGCTTTTTTGTTTCTATACCAAATTAAAAGGCTGGTGAGAACAGGGAGCCCTATGTCTTACATCTTAGCTAAGAATTGTCACTGTACTGGTCATTTTATCATCCACTGGCATGTCTGTCCTCCCAGACCCTTAAATCGTTCTAGGACTTGTGAAATACCCGGGCCGGATCTGATCTCTTTAGCTTCTGTCTGTCTCTATCAGCCCTCCTCACCTCTTTCTGCCTCCTGGATGTGTTCTGTACTTCTCTTTTCTACTGATTGTTCTTCCCCACCTCCTTCCCACCCCCTCTTCAAAAGACTTCCCTGCTCTCTCAAATGATTGTGGTACATTTGTCAGTGGGGCCAGTGTAAGGCCTGACCAGGATATGAATATAGGGATACCAGCCCTTCTCTTTTCTCTAGTCTGTTAAGGGGAAGTAGAAGTCCTTGATCTGAGGACTGAATTTCTTTTTTTCTAATGCAGAGACACCCAGGACTGACCATAAATTTCCCTCTAAGGTCTGCTTTATCAACATACTACACATTATGATATGTTTTGTTTTCATTGCCATTTGCTTTAAAATGCTTTCTAATTGCACTTTGACTTTTCCTTTGATGTGTGGGTTAGATAGGAATCAATTTTGTTTTCTGCTATTTGGGGATTTCCTGGATATCTTGCTGTTACTGATTTCTAATTTAATTTTATTATGGACAGAACATATGCTTTGAATAACCTGAATCCTTTAAAATTTGTTGAGACGTGTTTTGTGGCCCAGAACACAGTCTTTCTTGGTCCATGTTCTGTATGTAGTGGAGAAGAGTATATACTGAGCAGAGTGCTCTAACTTTGCTGATCTGGTCAAGGTGGTTGGTATGTTCAACTCTTCTATCTCCTTGTAGATTTTCTGCCAGCATGTTTCTCTCAGTTATTGAGAGGGAAGTGTTAAAATGACCAGTCCTCTTCGTGGAGTTGTCTGTTTCCACACTCTTCTAGAACAGTGTGTTACCAGTATAACATCTTCCATCCTCAGCGCTTAATCCTATTTGTGTTTAGGGTTTCTGGTGGGCCCACTTCACAAGCCTCTTATAATTTAGAGCGGCCTGTTCACCTTTTCATGCTGTTTGTGTGTTGAAGAAACCAGACCTGCTGTTTGTCCTGTGCAGTTTCTTGCATTTGGGTGGGTACTTCTAGCATTGACATGTTTGTCCATGCCCCATGTTCCTATACACTGGTAACTTTATGGAGCAGTTTGATCAAATTTGAGTTATCTTTCTTCTTTTTTTTCTGAGTGAGAATTCACACGTGCTTTTGTGTATTTCACCAGAAGGATCAGTGTGTCTGGTTTTCTCAATAGTGGTTAATGGTCAGATCAGTCAGGGTTTTCCAGCCTGGCCTAGTACTTAATACTGTACATTTCTGTATGAATGTTCACTAAGTTGTTTTTAGCATTTATCGATGATAGATGTTCATACAGATTTTTATGAGAGATTGCAAAGTGAAGATTTCCTAGTTCCATCATTCCTTCTCCATCTAGTAGCTAGCATTCCTATACAAAGAAGCAAAGTCATGATAAATGGAGAAAAGATTGAAGTTGTCAGGATTTCATTTTACTTGGATGCACACTCAACACCCATGAAAGCAACGGTCAAGAAATCAAACAATGTATTACATTGGGAAAATCTACTGCAAAAGACCTCTTGTTAAAGAACAAAGATGTCACCTTGAAGACTGAGGTGGCCTTAGCCAAGCCATGGCCTTTTCAGTCACTTCATATGCAGGCAAAAGGTGGGTGAGGAATAAGGAAGATGGAAGAGTTGATGCCAGAAAAGCAAACAAACCTGTCTTGGAAGAATCACAGCCATGCTACTTAGAAGCAAGGATGGTGAGACTTCGTCTCAGGTACTTGGCACGTGCTGTCAGAAGGGACGATTCCCTAGACAGGGACATCATGCTTGGTAAAGTAGAGGGTCCATGAAAAAGAGGAAGACCCTCAGTGAGGTGGACTGACACAGCGGCTGCAAGAAAGGGCTCAAGCACAGCAACAGTTGTGATTGTGAGGGTGGCGCAGCACTGCACATTTCGTTCACTTGCATATGGGGTTGCAGTGCGTCGGAGCCAGCTTGGCGTTAGGTGGCAGCACCTAACAACACCAACATCATTCCTTCTCCACCAGCTAGAATTCCTCTATATTCTTTTATCAGCTGTTTGTTATTGTTATGTGCTGTTGAGTCGGACCTGACTCATAGCGACCCCTCCTTGGGTTTCTGAGGCAGTATCACTACAAGAGTAGTTTGCCTCATCTTCCTTCTGAGAAGTGGCTGGTAGGTTTGAACCGCCAGCCTTCTGATTAGCAGTCAAGTGCCTTAGGCAGTATGCTACCAGAGCTCCTGTAGTCACTGTGAAATGTAGTCGGTGTGGGAAAAGCAAGATACTTTCTTGATTCTTTCCCTTTATTTATTTATTTACAGACTAGTGAGTTGATGGCTTTAGTAGTTTTCAAAGTTCACTGAGGTTTTTTTTTTTTGGTAGTATTATTATGAATTAAAGGAATCCTGGTAGCGCAGTGGTTAAGAGCTCAACTGCTAACCCAAAGGTTTGTAGTTCAAACCCATCAGCCACTCCATGGGAGAAAGATATTGCAGTCTGCTTCTGTAAAGATTATAGCCTTGGAAACCCTGTGGGGCAGTTTTACTCTGTCCTCTAGGGACTCTGTGAGTTGATATTGGCTCAGGGGGCCGTGGGTTTGGTTTGGGCTTGGATTCCATAAAGATTGACAGCCTTGGAAGCCCTGTGGGGCAGTTCCACTCTGTCCTCTAGGGGTGCTGTGACTTGGAATCGACTCCACAGCAGTGGGTTTGGTTTGGGCTTTGCTGCTGTAAGATGACAGCCTTGGAGACCCTGTGGGGCAGTTCCACTCTGTCCTCTAGGGGCATTGTGAGTTGGAATTGACTCCATGGCAGTGGGTTTGGTTTGGGGTTTGCTTGTATAAAGATGACAGCCTTGAAAACCTTTGGGGGCAGTTCTACTCTGTCATATAGGATCTTATGAGTCGGAGTCAACTCATTGGGAACAGGTTTATTTCTTGTTTTTTATTATGAACTTATGGACTAAAAATTTTATTTGGTGTGTTTTAGTCTATTATCAGAAGAAAGATTGGGCAATCTACTTCTGTAGTGATACCACCTTGGAAACCCAAGGCAGGGTCGCTATGAGTTGGGTCCAACTTGATGGCACATAGCAACAACAACAAGAGTCTATTATAGTCAGTATTCTTCTTGTTGTGATTTTGATGCTCAGACTGTCCAGTCTTTGGCCAATGGCTCCTGTGTCCTCTTGACATGACTCTAGTCATGTTTGATGGCTTGCTTGTGTTCATCATGACAGGATGCTGTAGGTGCATGTTGTCTGTTTCTTGGCCAGACCTGGAATCAGCCATTTCCCCAATGAGCTCTGGTTCCTTTCTGTGGGAAATGGTATTCACAGTCCATGACCTGGAGCCTGGGCAGACTCATAGCTCTTGGGTTTTCATTGGTCAGAGTTTTCAGTGGGCAGAGCTGAGACATTTGTAGGTTTTCTAATGTGACGAAAAAAATCATACATTCATTTGAAGGTATTAGTTCTGATGAACAACTTTGATTATATAGCTTGTAACTCTTTTCTTATATGCTGAAAATCTTGGTTCCTAACACCATCAACAATGTATAATCATTTCAAAATCACAGTATTGATGTGATTATGGGCATTAAGCCTACTGTGTGCTCCTTTGCCTATAGCTCTGTTTGCTGTCCTCTGTCTGCTTAGGCTCGATCCCTTTAGATGTAAAGCTAACCCACCTGCAGTCATTTTTTCTGTGTGGTGACCCTACCACTTTGATATACAGTTAGAGGGCCTTGTTTCACTTCACACAGTCTGGTGTCACTAGACTGAAGGGAAGAGTCACATAAAGTTTTGAAAGATTCTGGCCAATGCCCTTCAGTGGAGCTTGAGTCATTTTGTGTTTCTAACTTCATGGGAAGATTTTAAATACTTTATTATGTATGTCTGCTCTGGGTCATTGTTATGATTCTTACCAAGTTAAGGAAGTTTCTATTCTTGGACTGCTTGGATTTTTTTTTAAAAATCAGGATTGCTATAACATGTTATCAGATACATCTTTGGGCAACTACTGACAAACAGCATTTCCCCCCATTTTCATAGTGTACATTCCTCTCTAAGGCGGGATAATGCTCATATAGTCACTTCCGGTGGCATGCTTTGTACCTGTGGATGATACTTTACTGCACAAATGACAGTTCTTCCCAATCTGAACACAAGTAGAGTCTGTCTCATCCCCTTATCACAAGCAAACACCAGTCCCTTTGCCCTTTCTCTCCAGCAGGGTTGATCCCTCCTCGTTATCCTGATTACTCAACACTGAGAGGGTGGGGACTGTTACACAGGGAGCCCTTTGTTGTTGGAGGCCAGGCTTGCGCTCCTGCCTCCCTTATTCTGTAATGCTGGTGACATTTGGCATTGATTTCTCAGCCCTAAGCTGTGCCCTTGCTGATGATGACAATGAGTGTGGGGCAACTTGTGTGGAGTGATCACTGTAGGCACTTGCTAAATATTTTATATTTTTATTCACTTAATCTTCTTAGCAATCCTGTGAGGGGAGTAGTGGTCTCCTCGCATTTTGTTGATGGAGATTTGATCGTTTCAGTAAATTCTGTAGTTGCATACAACTCAGTTAGAAAACCCCACTGCTGTTGAGTTGATTCTGATTGATGGTGACCATTTACAATACAAAACAGAAGTGTTCTCTAGGGTTTCCAAGGTGGTAAATCTTCATGGAAGCAGACTGATGCAGCTTCTTCCACGAAGCAGCTGGTGAGTTTGAACTGCCAACCTTTTGATCAGCACCTGACTATTTTAACCACTGTGCCACTAGCGCTCCTTGCATACAACTGAAAAAGTGACCCCTCCTTGGGTTTCTGAGGCAGTATCTCTGTGGAAGTAGATTGCCCAGTCTT